CAGGTTATGGGACAGGCACTGCCACACTGGATATGTCTACCATTGATACACCCTGTACATTTTAATCATACAAATTAAAAATTAGCATGCACAATAAATTGTTATAAACACTTACTCTGAGCGGATGTAATTCCAGTCAGTATTACAGCGATAAATATGATTAACACAAATGAACGCATTTTTTATGTTAATGCAAAATTAATTAAAAAATATACTTTATAAATTGTACAGATATTATCTGAGAGTTTTGTTATTTATATAGATTATAAATGTAGGGATTAGCGACAATTTTTAACTCCCGGTTTATACATTTTATTTCATTTTCTTATCCCATTGCCTACAAAAAAAAGTAGTTATTATTTCCAGGAAAAGGATTGTAATTAAAAATCTTTTTGTTCAATTTGTAATTAATTAAATTTTTATACTGTACTATCTTAAATATATAAAATAAAAGATTAAATAGAAAATTGAAATTACAAATAATTTATTTAAAATAGATCTAAATAATATAAAATTTTATTTTTATAAACAATAATTGAATTTAATACACAATGTAGCTAGGTCAGTATGTTGCGTCTTGGCCACTATTGGCAATACTTTTTATAAATACTTTGACTAATATAAGTTAGGCAACTAATCCAATGATTATTTCATATTTTGAGTAAAAATCCAAAAGCTCATAACTATAAAATCTTTTATATAATATACTGTATGTGCAAGCAATTAAAATGTTAACATTATTTAGATTTTTTTCTAATAATGTGAAATTATTTATTAATTTTTTCCATCACATATAATATATGTCATATATAAATATATGTATATATATGTATATTTATATATATATTATAACTAAATATATTTTTACAAAATGTGACACAAATTCATTCATTAAATGCTGTGATTATTGTGAACTGTTTTTTATGTTAGATGACCCAGGTAAGTATAATCAATTACAGGTGCTCTACTCTAGTAATAGGAACTAGATGGTAAAAGTAATAGGTTTAGAACATAATGCTATTAATAAATTGCATACAAATAATTTGAAATATATTAATTTTTATTTTTGAATAATTTAAATTAGTTTAAACATATAATGGCAATAGATCATTTAAATGTTTTATATGATATTGCA